ATATGCTATAGGCTATAGCCCTTACCTGCTAACAAAATCAGCCCCCAGTGCTCCAACACAAATGAGAGAATAGGGAACTTGATAAATATATTATAAAAAGATAGATTGCAGGATAATTTGATTTTTTTGATGTTTCATATTCAATGATTTATCAACCTGCTTTCCATATTATTATATCAGTATTTAAATGAGATCCATGGCAGTGAGTCAGTTCTCCTGGTTTTATTTATCCTAATTTGTGTAACAACATCAAATGGAAACGATCTGATCTAATATAATGCAATATCAGTTTATCTGGCTCCACTGTTAATTGCTAATCAGTGTATGATTAACCTGATTTAATATAATACACAAGTTGGATCGTTCGCCCTTTCTAATCTCTCCTAGTTGTCATCATGAGGTTTGTTGAAAACCCAATTCAGAATAAATAGATTGCTGTAGGTAATAACTATAATAATTATAATTATGGTTTTTAGCTCTAGCCAATTAGAAAGCACAGAGTTATTTTGGAGTTTAGGACAAAATATTTGAAGGTTTAATCTCCATGAAAAGGATTGTGCATATTTTGTGTTATTAATTCATTTATTGGATCAGATTATTGCTCACTGATCAACAGAAGAATGACTGTAGATGAGCCAGAGTTTTGACTTGAGTTTAATTGTCAGCTGGTGTCCCTGGTCAGTTCCTGAAACGGCAATCTAAAATTAGAATATAATGACTTATCACAGCCGGTGCATGCTGATAGTACACAGGCTGCAGATGACCAGCAACCAGTACAAGGCGCATCCACCAAACTACCAATACAACAACCACAATGAGGTAGACTACATACAAAACAAAAGAAGGTAAAATGCTTGTGATTGGATCCTCTAATTCTGTACTTACGTTTGATCAGTCGGTCCTCCTTTGAATAGCACTTTTATTTTTTTTTTATTTCTGTTTACTGGTTTATGAGGCATCGTCAGCCTTTCATAAGACATCATCAAGAGGGATGCAGTCACATCAAGATTACTCGCTATAGATAATAAATATTAGATGAGACTTTCTGAAGCAGCAGAGTGGTTTATTTCAACTAAAAAAATAATCAATATTTTCTGGAAAATACCTTTACCAGTGGACATCTTTAAACCTTCAGCTACTGAACTAAAGTGCTGTTGTTTCTTTTATTGAACAACAGTGCAAAGTTCAGCGATGAACGAAACTTGTAGATTACAGACTGAGGCATTCACCCTGTAAAACATGTGACAGCGCAAAATAGTTAAGTCAATAAAAGTAAATATAGCACAAT